CAGTGGAACTTCTCATGGGATCCATTATTTTCCATAATTCAAATTCTTCCTCTACTCAAGGATCTGTCTTGGTGGTTGGACCACTCCAATATCACTTTAGGAGTTCTTTCCATTACCTCCACCCAGACTGGACCTTCACTTCTTATCATTTTCTGACTGCTTCTGATCACTATTGTCCATAAGTGGGGTATTTTGCAAGACCACTTGAGATATCTCCATGATATATATATATATATATATGTATGTATAAATAAATACATAAATAGCTTACAAATTAATGATTAAATTAATTGATTATAAGCAATTAAATCAGCACTATAAAACAATAATGAATTAAATATTGCAATACCGTTATCGGTCCTGTTGTCAACTTATTGTTGTAACAGATAATGTCTGTGGTAATAGCATCCAAATGCCAATGTCAAACGCATCAGCCGTCGTGGGAAAAAAAAATCATCAATCAAATAAGGGTACGAAGCTGAGTGCTTACACCCACAATATCTCAGCTTTTACTGTCTTTCACTGTCTACAGCCAGTTGTGGGAAGGCAACTACCCTTAAATTTCTTAAAGTAGAAATGAATTGAAATGAAGCCACCCTAATATTTCTACTAATTAAACTCCCCACCTCCACCCTTATAAAAAGATATTAAATATAATTAACAGAACTATAAGATATTAAATAGAACTATGAAATATTGGATAGAACAAAATAAAACTATAAGATATAAAATAGAACTATTAAATATGACTAAACAGAACTATAAGATATTGAATATAACTAAATAAAACTATAAGATATTAAATAGAACTATACACCCTACCTTAAAAGTTCTTATATAGCTCTAACTCCCAACCTCCTCCCTTTCTTCTGAAGATTTATTTAAGTATAACACGGGAATGGCGAGACAAGCCCAGCTACTTGAAGTTAGTCTTTCTGTCCCAGTTATACTGAATAAAATTACTAAAAAACTATTATTGTTAGTTATTTATAAGCTAAAATAACTAACTCCCTCTATATTTTATTTATAACATATTTTCCTTAATCGATAGTTTAGTTTCTAAAACATTTTTGTATTTATTAAAAATAAAGTAATGTATTTCTTTAATTACCTATCTCTATAGCTGTTATCTTTCAATATATTTTTTTAAAGAATAAAATATTATCCATAAAGATATTACAGTTATTGCATACTATTAAGAACCGTTTTAGTTGAGATATAATAATACATTTTAACATGATATATGAAATAACAGTATTAGGTGTGAGTAGATCAAGAATGGGAAAATTAAATTATCTTCTTTTATCAAAAATAGTAAACTGCACTGTACCTTCTATAAAAGTAACGT